GGTGGTGTTCTCTGGGTTTGGACAAATGTATAATGACATGTATGCATCTTTATAGTATCATACAGAGTATTTTCACTGCCCTAAAAAAATCCCCTGTGCTCTGCCTATTCATTCTTCCACCCTCTCCCCCCAACTCCCTGGCAACCACTGATCTTTTTAATGTGTTCATAATTTTGCCTTTTCCAGAATGTCATATGGCTAGAATCATATAGTATGTAGCCTTTTCAGATTAGCTTCTTTCACTTAGTAATATATAATATACGTTTAAGTTTCCTCTGTCTTTTCGTGGCTTGATACTTCATTTCTTTTTAGCACTGAATAATATTCCATTATCTGGATGTGCCACAGTTTACTTATCCATCAGCTACTGAAAGCCATCTTGGTTGTTTCCAAGCTTTGGCAATTATGAAAAAAGCTGCTCTAAACATCTGTGTGGAGGATTTTGTGTGGACATAAGTTTTCAGCTCTTTTGGGTGGACACCAAGGAACATGGTTGCTGGATCGTACGGTAAGGGTGTATTTAGTTTCGTAAGAAACTGCCCAACTGTCTTCCAGTGTGCCTGTGACATAGTGCATTCCCACCAGCAATGAATGAGAGTTCCCATTGTTCCACATGAAGTTTAATATTCAACTTTTTAAAGAGTACTCCATGTTTAGGAAAAGAAATTACAGAAAAAGGGGAATTTTTACTGTGAAACTACACTTAACACATTTTCAGTGGAGCAGGTGAGGGACCGTAGGTATGTGTATAGGGAGGCCAGCGCCCTCAGTGGCTTTGGAGAGTGGGATTAAGAAGAAGCCACAGACATTGTTTATGAATACCTCCTGATTTCTCTCTGTGATCCCAGCTGACTTAACTTCTGCCCATTTTGAGATTATCCTCCTGAGTGTGCTGCCAACATCTGTAAGGATTGAGCTGGGACCCTGGTGGTTAGAGTAGCCTTGCTCTGGAGTGACCACAGATGCTGGGTGAAGGTAAGGAAATGGGTGTGGGAGTTGGGGGTGGGTAGAATCACAGAAGGAGAGGTCCAAGTGGGCAGATTTTTATTAGGTCCCCAATTCCTAACCTCCACACTAGTAAGTACTTAAACCTTAGAAGAAGGCTTCTAAGAAGGTGTGATGAAACAACTAAAACATGTTGGACTTCACCATCAGTCAATATGGCCCCACAGTCCATGTCCCAATACTCTCCCACCCACTTTTCTCTAAAAAGAAGCTCTACCTTTAGAGACAGTCCTGTGCAAAGGTCTTTCTGGAAGTTTTGGGGGAAGGACAGGAGTTGTCCCTTCTAGGTTCCTCCTGGAGTGGGGTGAAAGCCTGGGCGTCTCATCCGCTGGAGCAGGAGCGCAGCCCAAGCGCCGAGGCCTCCATGTCTGGGTCAGGCCCTCAGTGGTCACAACTGAGGCTCTGGGCAGAGAGGCCAGCCCCTCGTGGCGCACGGATGCACCTCATGCCCCTGTGCTGGAGACATTGCGATGGTCCCTCCCCTTCCTGCGCTTTATCTCGTGGAAGGAGCCTGGGGGTTGAGGGGGACATTGCTATCGTAGGTCCCTGCTAACTGGATGTGTGGTGGGCAGGGTCGCCTTCCTCCCTCTCACTTCCACCTCTGGGAGGCTCCTGGGGGCCGCAGCGTGGATCACCCCTGCCGCCAGAGACATCCCAAATGGATGTCCTCTATGAAGAACTCTTTTGGCACCTGGACCATAATGAGGATGGGACCCTGGATATCCTTGAGCTTCAGGAAGGCCTGCAGGATACAGGGGTCCTTGAATTCCTGGAGGAAGGGCAGGTGGGCCTCAGTGGGGCTGTGGTAGGAGAGATGTGGGGGCTGGGAGCCCCGGAGATGCCTTGGGCAGAGATGGGGAAAGCCAAATTGACACCTTACCCAGCTTCCCCTGGGGACCCACTATAGCTTTCAGGTTGGTTACCAACATTTTACCATTTGAAGAATAACAACACAGCTAATACTTTTCTCAAGCATTTTTCTTATTTCCCCTGGCTCTCATAAAACTTCCAAATTCAAATTGCTCTGAACATGTTGGCTACCACCTTGTTTTGGGGGGTCACCTTGTTCAATGTACTCACCTGTTATTAGTAGCCTGGATGGGCATCTAGGCCAATGAAGCTCCCTCCCCACTTTGGGGAACTGGGATAATCACTATATGTGTTATGTGTTTGGGAGTGGGGGCGGGGGTTGTAGTTGGAAATGGTCTAATACTATCTTTTGGTTTCTGTTCCTGGAAGGAGGGCATTCAGTCTGGTGGCTTGTACCCTGGGGGTCTCACCAGTTCTGACCTTCCTCCGAGCATGGCTTCATCAGCACACTTGTAAAGACTGAGCTCGGCATTATATCCTCTGGGCATCCCTATTTTTCCCAGCCTAGATCACAGAATGAGTCTCAGCGTGTAATGCCTGATGCATATTTCTATCACTGTATTTCCAAGTTATTTTCTGTTTGGAAATTCTTAATATAATTACTTTCCAATTATATTTGCTCTTTGGATGTTTACAGCAGCAGCCTGGGTGGGAGATTCAGGAGAGCAAAGACTGTTGAATGCATTTCAGATCATCGGTACTTTGTGCTCAGGAATCTCTTGGCTGAGCTCTGTCATGTTAAGATTTAGTAAACCTCTTCTTACTGGCTGTGGGAACTTTGGGAGTCTTTACTTTCATCATCCATCCAGTGATTGGGCAGCTGGGTTTTGGGAATGTTCTGTATGCCAAGTGCTGCAGCTCAGTTTTCTCATTTGTGGTATCAGAGGCCTGGACTGGGTGTTGTCTGTGGACCAGGCCATTCCAAAATGTTATCTCTGTAAAGTTCACTTTGTTTCTGTAATTCCTAGAACAAAAATGGAAGTGGTTTTCTTTTTCTTTTTTCTTTTTTAATTTTTTTGAAGCGTTTTTCTTTTTAAAGCTAAATATCCCTTATGCTTATTATTTATTACTTTTTAAAGATTTATTTATTCATTTGAGAGAGAGAGACAGAGTGAGCAGAGCGAGAGGGAGACAAGCAGACTCCCCACTGAGCGGGGAGCCCGATGTGGGGTTCGATCCCAGGACCCTGAGATCATGACCTGAGCCGAAAACAAGAGTCAGACCCTTAACTAACTGAGCCGCCCAGGCGCCCCACTTTATGTTTATTTAAATGTGCCTATTCTTGTACTTAGATTTCCAAGTGTGACTTGTATTTGTTTATTTGATACAAACGAAACTTTCAAAAGAAATTCTGGTTTATGCCATAAACAAGTTCAGTTCTTTGAAACGCATTTCAAAGCAATTTATCAAACAAACATCAAAACAATTTGTTGCAAATCTGTCTTTTGTTTTTTAAGAGGTGGTGTGAGCCATATAAAGGCTTTGTATACCCAGTGGTGACTGAGGGCTTACATATTAAAACTTTCATCAACCAAACAGAACCTTACATTTCAGGGGAATACTGATGTGGCTTTTCCTCAGGTGACAGTGACATCTTTAGGGGGTTCTAATGTGAATTTTCTCCCACATGTCTTCAGCTTCCCTAGTAGAAAATTATTTATATAAATAAAGAATTCATCAGTTAAAAAAAAATAGAAATGGTACTTACATTTTGTAATGATAAGAAAGAAAAGATACAACTTTTTAATTCTGATAACAGGTTTTTTGAATGACGTTTTATTTGGCTTTTTACTGTAGGGGGTGAGAGACTGAGTATACAAGTATGGACAATGGTTTGCTCATATTTAAAATTGAACTTTGACCCACAACTTAGGGTAACCTGCTCAGGAAGCCAACCCCTTTTCTATAGTAAACAACCCAGGAACCAACCTGCCATAAATCAGACTTAACAGGAGTCCAGATTGCCATCTCTAGAGACAATCCACGAAGCAAAATAATTTCTGTAACAGTCAGCCCCAAGTAGCCAGAAATTGATTGATACCTGACAGTTTCCCTAATTTTTATCCCCACTTCCAACTTAGGACCAACTAGAGAGAGGGAAATACATACCCCTAACCAAACACAGGATGCCCCACTTCTCATTAGCCTGCCTACAGCCAAGAGCCGCCAATCAGGGCACACCTGAAGCCTCCCTTTTCCCTACTATAAAGCTTGCTCACCCTTTTGTCTGCCTGCCTTTGAGTCTCAGCCAGAACTGACCACGGCTGACTGCCTTGCTATATAGTAAGCTCAGAACAAATAGCCTTTGCTTTTCTCATTTGATTGGTCTTCATTTATTTCTACAAAGGAATACAAAAGAACATTCAAAAGGGAAACCCTAGTCTTTCATATTATTGTAGGTTAGAGTCCTTATTTACCATAAGAAGGTTAAAAAATCAAGCTGTTCAAAGATAGGGTCAGAGATGTCTTTTAACTTGCAATTTCCAAAATGATAGTTGTTCCCTGATATTTCCATTGACCGAAATATAAACTTCTTAGATGAAACTTTAGTACATAAATGGGGCCCCAGAAAGCTGTGCCATTTTCTCTTGGATTATGCACATCTTGGTATATGTTGAGTAATCAGGATGTAATTTTCAGGTGAATATGATCCTCAATCTAATTTGTGAAAGTAATTAAGTAACAGTAATTATTTTTCAGTGACAATATAAATGTATTTGCTTTTATTTATTTATTTATTTTTTGGTAGAGAGAGAATGTGACTGGGTTGTGGGAGGGGGTAGTGGCTGAAGGAGAGGCAGAGAGAGAATCTTGAACAGGCTCCCTGCCCATTGTTGAGCCCCATGCGGGACTTGATCTCATGGCCCTGTGATCATGACCTGAGCCAAAATCAAGGATTAACTGACTGAGCTATCCAGGAGCCTCAGGAAATATATTGTTTTACACATCTAAATCCCATGCTAGGTCAAGGGTATGTTTTTTACCTTGGAGTTTATAAAATGCATGTCTTACAGGAGAACAGCCAATCAGGCTGCTCAGAGTATAAGTATGTCCAAATAATTTAGTAGTTTAAAAAATAATAATTCATTTAAATAATTTTTAAAAATCTCTTTTCTTTTTTATAGAAAATCTTTACTACTGGTGATATCAACAAAGATGGGAAGCTGGATTTTGAAGAATTTATGAAGTACCTTAAAGACCATGAGAAAAAAATGAAATTGGCGTTTAAGAGTTTGGACAAAAATAATGATGGTATGTCTTTATTTTGTATTCATCACCAGCTATGAAGAAGCACCTCTCATATTTCCAAAAGTATAAAACAATATGTATTTAGTCTCTCTTTTTCTGGAAAATAATTATTATAGTTATAGTACTTGTTTTTCATAGTAATGTGATTTTTCTGTAGAATTTGTTTTTAGTGAAGAAAACTTATGCATAGCCTTGTCTACTGAATTAAAATCTGTGAATAGGGCTGTGTGTATATGTTCACTATAGAATATCGTACTGATTTGACTTATAGGTTAAAAATAATAACTATGTTTCCTTGTTCTCTGGGCAAGAGATATTTATTTTTGTTCATATATAGGCACAATGTAAAATTTAAAAAACTTTCAGATTATCTTAGATTTAATAATCTTTTTGAAAGAATTACTTTAGGGCAAGTACTCTCTGATCATGAAAATTGGGAGAAAAAAATATTTCAAATATGTATCTTTTTTTTTTTTTAATTAAGTGAACTCTACCCCCAATGTGGGGCTTGAACTTACCACCCTGAGATCAAGAGTCACATGCTCTACTAACTGAGCCAGTCAGGCACCCCAAATATGTATCTTCTGATTGGGATTATGGTTTCATGATTTAGATTAATAGTTTAAAGTTAGAGTCCCAGTGTGTAGAGCAAAAAGCAAGTGCCACAGTAGGAGAAAGGGGAGGAGTCATGAAACCCTTATCACTAGAGGTAGCCTTTGATAGGAAGTGGGAATTTATTTTTAAAAATTATAACGCTTACAAAACTTAATAAAAAGATAAACTTAATAAAAAAAACTAAAATGCATCCTCAAATCCTTCCCTATATATGAACAGTCAGGGCTGTTCCATTCACAGACTTGGTATTCAAGAAACAAACAAATGGATTGAGGAAAAAATATGGTTCATACCTGGGGTGGGCAAATTTTTTTTGTAAAAGGCCAGATAGTAAATATTTTAGCTTTGTGGGCCATGTGGTCTCAGTTGTAGCTACTCATCTCTGCTATCATAGTGCAAAAACAGCCATAAACAATATGTACATGAATAAACATGGCTACGTGCCAATAAAACTTTATTTATAAAAGCAGGCAACAGGCCTTATTTGGCCAGTAGGTCATAGTTTGTTGGCCCCTTGTTTATACTGAATAAAGAACTTTAACTTTAGTTAGGTATACAGCAAATTTCTTCAAACAACTAAACCCTTTGAATGGATTTGATGATGCTTCCTGTCTGTGATACTCATCCAGGAAGTTGAGTTTGTAGTGGAAAGTAGTGCTATTCAGACATTTGTTACCTCCTAGAAGCCTTACACTACATGCCTCCAAGTTTAGCCTTAGTCCAATCTTCTAGCAAAATGCAATTCTTTTTTTTTTTTTTTAAAGATTTTATTTATCTATTTGACAGAGACAGCGAGAGAGGGAACACAAGCAGGGGGATTGGGAGAGGGGGAAGCAGGCTTCCTGCGGGGAGCCTGATGTGGGGCTCGATCCCAGGACCCTGGGATCATGGGATCATGGGATCATGACCTGAGCCGAAGGCAGATGCTTAACGACTGAGCCACCCAGGCGCCCCATAAAATGCAGTTCTTACAACCAGCTTTGCTTTTCTGCAAACTTTCATCCTATCTTGAGCCCACTACAGCTCAGTCATGTAGGTAGGACTGTGTAGTGTGGAGGCAGGGAGTAGCTGGGAGATGGAGCCACCTCAGGGGCATCTGCCAGATAAGCAGAGGTGGGTCATCCTGGTACTTAAATTGTGCCCGTATCAGTTGTCCATTTCAGAAAATTCTACATGAACCAGAGGAAATAATTGAAGGTGAAATTTTGTGATACATTTGTAGTAAATTAAAACAGTTTTTACTTAGTTTATCTTTTTTGTAGATTTTCAAAGAGTTTCTCATTATAAGTTCATATTTTTGTGTATCAGACTTCTTCAAGCAAAGCATATTTGTGGATTGTGTATTTGAGAATTTGCCTACTTGCTAAAATTTAACCCCAAAAGTAACTCCAAAATCAGTGCTTCTGGCATTTTGGCAGTCCTTCATGGACTTGACTTCATTTGCTTGGTGAGCACATTTCTTGCTGAGATAGAGGTAAATGATGCTCTGCTTTCTTGTTTGAGCTCTAACACTGTAAACAAGTGTCCTTCTTCAGTCCACTTAGTGCCATGTTTCTTGCATTTTTGTGCTTTTTGTTGGTGGTTTTGCTGTTCACAGTGGCTCCCAAGCATAGTGCTGAAGTGCTGTCTAGCATTCCTAAATGCAAGAAGATATACCTCATTCAGGCATGATGAGTTGTAGTATTATTGGCCATGAGTTCACTGTTATAGAATCAACACTATAATATGGTATTGTATAGTATTTATACACACCTATAACAAGATTTTTTACCGACAAGGTTTTATATTGCTTGGTCGATGAATACATTGTGACCAGATGCTCAAGGAACCTAACCCTGTATTTCCCATAAGAACAGTGGTCCAATAATTCAGGGTTCATAGTGACCTTGTAGAACATAATTACCAAGAATAATGAGAATTGACTGTATTTCTTTAAGAGTGCAATTATAACGGAGAATATTCAGAATGGCATTTAAGGAATTTCATTGCTAAACAAATTGATCCCTCTAACAGTTTTTTACATTATGCAGAATCTCATGTTCCTCTTTTCCTCTCCCCAGGAAAATTCTTTCCAAATCCTGGGATTTCTTCAGAGTCCTTCTCTTAAATGAAGTCTTTGCTTTCACCACTAACAGTAATTTTTGTCCGCCTCTTTTCCTGGAGAACTTCGCTGTTAGTACTGTTTGGCAGCAGAGCCTCTCGTGCTTTGTTTGGTTTCCTCCTATTTCATGCATATTGGTCTTGGGGTCATGAGTCTCTGATCTGCTTGAGGGAAATGCAGTATTTATCACTCCCATTTATTGCTTCTATTTTCTCTTTCTTCCTCTCTTCTGTTTCGTCTCGTTCTATCTACAAACATGCACTAATTTCTCTAGTAATAATAATAACCTTCCCTCTTCCATTGTCCTACCATCCCCGCTTTCTTTCTTTTTATTGCCAGATTTCTCAAAAGAATAGTCCCCACTCTTTGGCTTCTTTTAGTCATTTTCTACTTCCTTTTAACCCTGTGCAACACATCTTTACACGTATGAAAATTGCCTAATCATTTATTAAAATGTAGAAATGCATATGTGTGAAATTAATAGATCCTAGCCTAATGGAATTTACTTCGGAGTCAGAGCGTCTTGATTTGAATCTCAGTCCTGCTGCTTAATGTTGTTACTTGGTAAGGCCACATAAGCTCTCAGTCCCTTCTTCTTTAGATGGATTCTTATTATTTACCGATGAGACTTCATGATTTCTGAATGAGATAATATCTGTGTACTTGTTTAGTGTATTTGTTAAACTTTGAGTTGGTGTTGCAGTATGTATTTAAGCAAATCTGTAACTCACCTAGAGTCATAATTTTGCCTTAATGAGTCCAAGACTTTCCCTTACAAAATGAGAGATTTGAAATTCAGGATTTCTAAGATCCTTATCCGTTCTGAGTCTGAGTTTATGCTCTTTTTCATTTTTTAAAGGAGTAATTGAGGCTTCCGAAATTGTCCAGTCTCTCCAGATACTAGGTCTAACTATTTCTGAACAGCAAGCAGAGTTGATTCTTCAAAGGTAAGCTCTTTACCTTACTGGCCATCATGGGCTTTCTTTGACGTTAATTTTCATATCTCATATTCAAGATCTTCATTTTAAGTATAGCTGAAAACTCTCTACACCTTAACCATTCCTCATTATGTGTGTTCAGTATATGTCTTCCTTTTTGTTTTGTATGTACATATTTAAGGTGTAGGAGTGGGAAGCGTAAGCTCAGATTGGATTCTCTCTTGCAAGGAAGGCCCCTGGGGAGTGGAATGGCAGTGAGGTGTTCAATCCATAGAGAAGGAACCTAAGCATTTTTGTGCTGCCATTTTTCCCATTTGGTTTCTAAGGTGATAGTGGAACTCATTGTTCCAGGATAAGATGTTTAGCAGATTCATCACATTTTTTAACCTACATGTCACTGGATAAGTGGGAAATTCCAAAGGTTCACAAAGGAGTACCGATTTAAACTCTCAGAAAATGGAGATGCCAGTTTGAACATTATTGCCCAGGGTAATCAATTCAGCTGTTTAGTGAGTCAAACCTTTATAGCCTTAATGTGTTATTTCACAGGATAGAGCAATAATCTCTAAAGTCTCAGTGCCCTTGAAGACTCTTCTATTACAAACAACCAAAAGGACTAATTAATTTTTTTTGTGATAATGGAAAACAGAAAATGGTGCTTATATTATATTCCTGTGAATGCTTTCAGTTTTTGACATTATCTAAAAAGTTTCTGCTAAATGGCTTTATTGTTGAGTTTATCTCCTTTTATATCTGTACCAGTAGCATTTTCCTCCTTTCTTTCTGTTCAGAATTTCTTTTAAAAGCAGCCACTCAACAGGAGGGCCCAAGTCTCAGAGCTTGGGCATGATGTTGCTATTGTTAACACTGCATGAGGAAGGCTTTCCTGAGGAAATGAAAAACTAAAAAAATGAAAGGGGTAAACCGGATTTTGACAGTGGGATATGGGGCATGTAATATTCTGTTGCTGAAGTCATTCTTCCAGGGAATTGAAGGTTTTTTTTTTAATTTTATTTTATTATGTTAGTCACCATACAGTACTTCATTAATTTTTGATGTAGTGTTCCATGATTCATTGTTTGCGTATAACACCCAGTGCTCCATGTAATACGTGCCCTCCTTAATACACATCATTGGGCTACCCCATCCCCCCACCCCCCTCACCTCTAAAGCCCTCAGTTTCTCGGAGTCCATAGTCTCTCATGGTTCATCTCCCCCCTCCGATTCCCCCCCCTTCATTTTTCCCTTCCTTCTCCTAATGTCCTCCATGCTGTTCCTTATGTTCCACAAAGTGAAACAAATAAGTCAAAAAATGGGCAGAAGACATGAACAGATACTTCTCAAAAGAAGACATACAAATGGCTAACAGACACATGAAAAATGTTCATCATCATTAGCCATCAGGGAAATTCAAATCAAAACCACACTGAGGGGTGCCTTGGTGGCGCAGTCGGTTGAGCGCCTGCCTTTGGCTCAGGTTGTGATCCCAGGGTCCTGGGGTCGAGCCCCGCATCAGGCTCTCTGCCTGGCGGAGAGCCTGCTTCTCCCTCTCCCACTCCCCCTGCTTGTGTTCCCTCTCTCACTGTCTCTTTCTCTCTGTCAAATAAATAAATAAAATCTTAAAAAAAACAAAACAAAACACCACACTGAGATACCACTTTACACCAGTTAAGATGGCAAAAATTGACAAGGCAAGAACAACAAATGTTGGAGAGGTTGTGGAGAAAGGGGAACCCTCTTACACTGTTGGTGGGAATGCAAGTTGGTGCAGCCGCTTTGGAAAACAGTGTGGAGGTTCCTCAAAAAATTAAAAATAGAGCTACCCTATGACCCAGCAATTGCGCTACTGGGTGTTTATCCCAAAGACACAGATGTAGTGAAAAGGAGGGCCATATGCACCCCAGTGTTCATAGCAGCAATGTCCACAATAGCCAAACTATGGAAAGGGCCGAGATGCCCTTCAACAGATGGATGGATAAAGAAGATGTGGTCCATATATACAATGGAATATTACTCAGCCATCAGAAAGGATGAATACCAACTTTTGCATCAACATGGATAGGACTGGAGGAGATTATACTAAGTGAAATAAGTCAGTGGCTTTTAATATAATCACGGACTTGTGTGACTATCACCACTACTTAATTTTGGAGCATTTTCATCACCCCAGAAAGTAACCCAGTACCCATTAGCAGTCACTCCTTATTCCTCCTCTGCAAGCCCCCAGCAATCACTGACCTACATTTTGTCTCTTTTGATTTGTCTGTTCTGGACATTTCACAAAAAAATGGAATCCTACAGCATGTGGCCTTTTGTGTCTGGCTTTTTTCACTTAGCATGATATCTTCAAAGTTCATGCATTTGTAGCATGTATCAGTACTTCATTCCTTTTTTAGACCAAGTCACATTCCATTGTAAGGATATATCACACTTTGTTTATCCATTCATCAGTAGATAGGCGTTTGGTTGTTTCCATTTTTTGGCTATTATGAATAATTCATGTACAAGTTTTTGTGTGAACGTATGTTTTCAGTTCTCTTGGGTATATGCCTAGAGGTGGAATGACTCGATTATATGATAACTCTATGTTTAACATTTTGAGGAACTGCCAGACTGTTTTTGAAAGTGACTGCATCATTTTATAATTCCAACAGCCATGTATGAGGGTTTTAGTTTCTCCACATCCTCCCAACACTTGTTCTTTGTTGTCTTTTGCTTTTTACCATCTACGTGGGTATAATGTATCTCATTATTATTTTGATTTGTATTTCCCTGATGGCTAATAAATTGTATATTCTTTTATACTTTTGGGTTATTATTATTATTAGCATTTGTGCTGCTTCAGCAAAATACTAGAATATGTTTATCCTGGAAAAACCTCCCTTTTCCTTTCTCTGTGTGTCTTCTTTATCAACACAGGATACACTTCACTTCTGACACTTCTGGTCACCAAATGTGTGGATTCCCCCACCCCCCCACCCCACAACAGGCAATTATCTGTGACATTAGCCCTGGTACCTTACAATTTAACTTAATTCTAATACTATCTGCCTGGAGATAGTGTCAGATCCCATAGGTTAAGGGCTCAGTCCCACAAGACTCCTCCCCAGTTCGATGCCAATCACAAGTAGTAGGTCCCCATGTTACCCTCAGTTTCTGTCCGACTTGGCTACACATTGGAGGTTCCCAAGATCTCCTTCCTCAGAGCAGCTTACAGAACGCAGGGAAATATTTCCTTACATCTTCCAGTTTATTAAAGGATATGATGAAGGATACAGATGAACAGCCAGATGAAGAGATACATAAGGTGAGGTCTGTGAGGGTCCCAAGCACATGAGCTTCTGTCCCTGTGGAGTTGGGCTGTGTTACCCTCCTGGTATGGATGTGTTCACCACTGTGAAAGTTCTCTGAACCCATACTTTGGGGGATTTTATGGGGGCTTCCTCATATAGGCATGTTCAATTATTAACTCTATTGTAAGCCTCTCTCCCCTCTCTGGAGAAATCGGAGTGGGGGACTGAATATTCTTTTTTTTTTTTGAAGACACATTTATTCAGTGTCATGATCAGATATTACATTTAGCAATCAACAGCATGGATGCAAAAAAAAAAAAAATCTGCATTAAAACCCTTTGTTGGAATGCTTTACACTTTCCACGGAACAGAAACTAAAATAACCTGTTATACAATTAGTCACAAATACAGGCCTCAAGTTGTTTGCCCATACACATGTGTATTGTCTAAAACATGTCTTCTTTGTAGCAGCTAGGCCCTGCCCCCACTGTGTTTGGCTGAGTTCACAAATCTGTTGTAACCTGTGGCTTCCCTGTCACTTCTCTGTCTCTTCTCTCCTGCTAAGCTCTGTTTCCTGGCAGTCATGAAAACCTTCTGCCACTGTCATAGCTACTGCTGCTGCTGGAACCACCATAGCCACCTTAGTTTCGTGGTCTGGCAAAGTATTGGTCTCCACCACCACGGGGGCCAGAGCTTCTGCCTCCAAAATTTCCTCCTTTCATGGATCCAAAATTTGAGGATTGATTGTTATAATTGCCAAAATCATAGCTTCCGCCACCTCCAGAGTTGCTTCCATCATTACCAAATCCATGATAGCCATCCCCACTGCCACCATATCCACCACCATCGCGACTGCTACCAGAGCCACCTCACCCACTGACGTTCCCTCCACCACCAAAGTTGTCATTCCCACCAAAACCACCTCCACGACCACCACCAAAGTTTCCAGAACCACTTTGACTTCTTTGGCTGGATGAAGCCCTAGCGTCTCTTGCTTAGTAAAAGTGGCTTACAGAACTCGGAAATATTTACTTACATTTTCCAGTTTATTAAAGGATATGATGAAGAGCTAGGCATGGGAAAAATCTGTGGACAATGCTCCCACCATGTTTCTTTCAGGTCTGTGAATTCTCTAAGAGTCATTTCCAACTTTGGAGCGCTTGCAGTTCTTACTGCTTAAGGGACTAAACCTCTCCCCTCCCCTATCCTTTATAAGCCTTCAGTTTTCACCTCAGAGAGAGCTATGCTGTCTAAATCTGCCCCCTCCCACCCAACAGCGGCTTTCTTTATTTGTGCAACCTGTTTCTCTGCTCTGTGGTTCTTACAGGTGGTAACCATGAGCTTATTCCTATAGCTTAGTGGTTAGAAATATAGTTTCTGAAGTTAGAATGCCTGGGTTGAAATGAAATACTTAATTCTACTCCACTTACCAGGCCTGTGACCCAGGACAAAATACTAAGCCTCTCTCTGTGTATAAAATGGAGACAATAGAAAGTATATAGGATTGTTTTCAGGATTAAATAAATTTGCTTGTGAAGTGCTTAGAACAATGCCTAGCAAAGGCTCAGTGAATATTAGCTATTAGTTGCTATTGTTTAGTGCCTGTTTTTCCTACTACACTAAGCTTCGAGGGCACAGACCACTTCTGTCCTGTTAACTGTTACATAATCAGCACCTTGTAATCATGTGCCCTCAGAAAATATTGAAGAATGTGTT